TATATATATATATATATATATATATATATATATATATATATATAAAATTGCTGGCTCAAATGGTATCTCTGTGTTTAAGTCTTTGAGGAACTGCCAAACTCTTTATCAAACATATGTTTGGAAATATATTCTCTCATTTTGTAGATTGTCTTCAAAGCTTTTTGATAGCATTCTTCCAAGCATAAATGTTTTAATTTAAAATTAACTTCAAAGAACATATWAATTTAATTTTGATAAAGTTCAGATGATCTACTTTTTTCCTYTATTGTTTGTGTTTTTGGTGTCATATCAAGGAAACTGTTGCCTGGTCTGAGGTTACAAAGATTTACATTTATGTTTTCTCCTAAGAAATAAATATATTCTAGTTCTTATATTTAGGTTTCTGATTCATTTTGAATTAATTTTTGCATATGATATGAGGTAAGGCTCTAAACTCATTCTTTGGTACATAGACATCCAGTTGTTCCCGAATAATTTGTTGAAAAACTATACTTTCTCTMTTGTGTTGGCTTGGCACCTTGCAAAAAATTGCTTGACCAGAGATGTGTGGGTTTATTTCTAGACCTCCAATTCCGTTTTCATCTCTATTTCTCCTATGTGAGTACCACACAGTAGTGAATACAATAGCTTTGCAGTAAGTTTTGAAAACAGGAAGTATGAGTCCTTCAACTTTGTTCTTCTTTTTCAAACTCCCCCCCACTCCCCACCCCCGCCCTGTCCCATTCTGGCTCCTTTGAATTTCCATATGAGTTAGAATGGGCTTGTTTATTTGTGGGGGAAAAAAAAGTTGAAAATTTGGTAGGAATTGTATCAAATCTGTAGATCTGTCACAGGAGAAGAGATGTCTCTGGAGAAGGATCCAAGGAGTTCCCAGAGGAGAGGGGAACTCAACTCAGGGCAAGAAGTGTTCTTGGCATAAGTGATGGGAAAGAATTTCAGCATGAGCCATACAAAGGCATAGACAGAAGTTTATTTAGGAAGAAGATACCCATTCAAGAGAGAATGTAGACTGTCTCGAGAGCAAAATGGAGAGGCCTGAAGGAAAAGCAGGTTTAGGAGAAGAAACTACAAGTTGTATTTCACGTTTGTATGATTTGAAATGCCTATTAGACTGGCAAGTGGAGATGTTCAGGAGGCAGTTGCATAACAGGTCTAAAGGTTGAGAAAGAGATAACTTAAGAGTCATCAACACATAAGTGTTCTTTAAATCCATAAGCTGCATGACATTGCCTATGGAGAGACAGGGAAGTGAAAGTAGACAAAACAGACATGTGCGGCATTTCAACATTTATAGATCTTGGTGAAGAGAGGGCACCAGCAAAGAAGATTGAGAAGAAGGGTAACARGGCAAATGATAGTATATGTTAACCATATCCTTCCATCTCTGTATTCTAATGCTTTGATTTCCTGGAGGCTTGCTGATCCTAAAGGGGTTGCCCTTCCCTAGGTTAGCCAGTTACAAGAAGTAGGAAACAATATGCACATGAACACACCTTTCAATTGCAAACCAACCAACCCAGAGTTCATACTCTCAACCACTTCCTTTATTGTGCCCTTCCACATTTACAGTCACCAATCACTTGCCCTAATCATCCCAACCCCAGAAAACTAGAGAGASCTCCTATGGTCCAGGGCCTACAGAAATCATTCATCTTAGTCAACCACGAATCTGCTTTCCTTGTCTCACCTGCTCCTTCCTATGGAAACCACAGTAAAGGTGCCTGCCCATGTGTCCCACCTACCTCCTTTGCCCCATGACTGATCTTGGCGCTTCCCTATGTAGCCCCTGCACTTGCATCCTTTTTTTCTTGGGATCTTTCCAGTGGCTGAGGATTGGCCACATGGGACATAAATTCCTTAAGTAACAAAGTGCTTAAATTGTTTTTCAGGAAAAGGCTTCCGAATCCCCTCAAGGACGATGTGATCAGCTGTTCAAGAATGGACATGTGCAGAAGCAGCTAGCTCCTCTGGTCAATGACCTTTTGACGTCAAATGTTCCAAATTCCCTGCATAGCATATAACTCCCTCAGGAAAGAAACATGTTCCTTCTGAGGCACAGTGACCATCTTTGCCTGTTCAGAGGAATCTCAAACTCCCTCATCTTGACAATCAATCAACATGCAGTTTCTCCCTTCTCCCTCTCTGTAARTTTGCATTTACACAATTTACATCATTCAGGATGTAATTTGTGCATCAGGGAGACAGATTTGAGCCTTTTCCCCCTCTGCTCCTGACTTCCTTGCCAGGTGACCTTCCAAGAAAGCTATTTCTTTTTGCCATAATATCAGCTTTTATGTACACAGGCAATGAGACCTTGCTTGGTATCAATGACAGTTGCCTCCTGATCTGTTGGCCTCACCATATATATAAAAAAACAAATAAAACTTACATTTTAAAACACGGCACTACAAGGAAGGAGCAACTGACAGAGATAAATGTTGCTGCAAGTTGGATTTAGTAGTATGGAAGTCATCCATGATCTTGACAAGTGCACATGAAAGTTCTAGAGGTAAAGATGTGGAGATGATAGAATGTAGCCAACTCTTTAGAGAAGAGTGTTACAAAACCATGAAGATAAATGAATCAGTAACTAGAGGGAAATGTGAGGTCCACAGTTGGTTGTACTCTTGGTTTTATTTTCAGAAGGATGAGACGGGTAACAAATGGGAGCTTTGCACAGAGAAGTGCTCATGGCACACCTAGCTGAACTTGACAATACTCTTCCTCATCAAAATGGAAGTATACCTGCTGGGCCCTCCGGTACATGCCCATAATACTAGTGACTTGGAAGGATGAGGTAGGAGGATTGCAAGTTCCAGGCTAGCCTGGGAAATTTTGTGAGACATTGTCTCAAAATAAAATAAAAAGGACTGTGGATATAGCTCAGTGGTAGAGTGCCCCTGGATTCAATTCTTAGTACCCACCCCCGCCCCCCACACACTAAAGAAAATGTAATTTGAAAAGGTATCATCCTAGGCACTTAGCAATTATGAGCTGATTAGCACTTTTAAGCACTTTTGAGCAGCACTTACCAACTTCCTATTTTTAGAACATGAAAGAATGACATAACATA